GGTCATTTTCCAAATAAGTTTAGGATTATGTGGTAAATATTTATCAGTATAAAATTTATATTTTAATTTCCTTCACCAATAGCAAAACACTGCATTAAGATATGCAGTAGTGTGAAAATAGTTTTATAACTATGCATTTGTTTTAATAACTATACATTTATGCGATGTGTAATCCCAGAGAACATGATTGAATGCAGAAGAATTTAAATCAGAAAATAAAAACCAGGATTTTACTAGATACTTATTTCTCTCACTCATGACAATTTAGAATACAGATAACAAATGAACTTGAAACATCATCAAGCAGAACAATACTGATAGTACTTCAAATCCTCAACATTTCTAAGCAATGTTTTTTTAAACCGATAAGGACATTAAGAAAATCAAAATCTGCTATCAGCAAAACTTTTTGGAGTGTATCACCTTAGAATGACCTTGTGACTCTAGGCTTTGATACAGCAATACAGCATTCTTTTTTATTTGGATCTTGAAATGTTGTAAAAGGAGACAATGTGATCTTACTAAGTATTTGTAAAAAGAAAGATGATTAAAGCCAGTGTTGTTCCTCAACAGAAAAATTAATTTCAATGTGTTAAATTTTCCTAATGATTATATTCAATATAAGATGTCAGTCGGCTACAGTGGACAATATGTAAAATGTTAATTCAGTTATATCTTAATTTTTTTCTTCATGTTACCTATCCTTTATTTTTTTTATAGAATAATTTTGGAGAACAACCTTTTATAATAGTTTATTTTAAAAAATGGTAACTTCCACAAAGGGAAAAAAAACCCTAACAAAATTGTATGCTAACCCAAATATGCCATTCATGCTTCAGGGATAAAAATACAAGCATGCATACATTTAAATTCCCATTCAAAACAGGTGGTTTTCCCCCCTTCAGTTTTACCTTGATCTGGCAGAGCATTTGATATGTATTATCATATCAGTTTGTTTTTTAACAGGCTCACAGGTAGAACTGAAATAGCTAAAAAGAAACACTCAAGAACATATTAAAAAACACATAATTTAAGATATAATACTAAAAGCAGTTACTTTAATTCAGCAGGAAAAATGAACCTGAACAGACTTCCTGAAGAAATGCAGCTGCTTGTAAGGAAAACTAACAGTAAAGTAAATACCATGGTTTCACCTGTATACTAAATTTGGTCTTAGAATGTATTAACTTTTGTCACAGCAGTTTAGCTATGAATTTCTTTCCAATAATACTTACTCTGTATACGATATGTATTGGCACACATGCACAAGGACAGACATGCTTCATAATATACACATGTGCAGCAAACACAGTCATCTTATTTCACATTAAAGAAATATAAAACAATAAATAACCTAAGCAATGTGCTATTTTTTCTGTGATATGATGTCCCCCAAATCAAAATTACAGAGTTACTCAAAATTTAATATGTTCAAAATGTTGCAACATCATGCAAATTCACCAGGTATCATTTCAACTATAATAATGCAATGTGTCCTCTGATTTTTATGATTAAAACAATGTACAATTCAGTGTCATTTTCTACTGGCATTCAAAAAGCTGTTGGACTTACTAATAACAATTCTACTAAGCATTCTTTGTTACAGTTTATACTAAGGTGTTAACTGCTACTGTCACACCCTAGAAATTTTGTCACACAGATCAGGTTATTATAAACTAAAGGAGAAAGCATGTCTTATGGGAGGAAGGATTTCATTTTATTATCTTACACATACATAAGTAGATGATCATAAGAATTTACATTTCAATTACAGTAAATGTAATATGGCTGAGTTTGGTATTTGTTGTACTCACATATTTCCCTCATTTTTTAACAGCCTGTGGAGAAAGATGCTAATATGGATAAGTTAATCAGACCTGTTATTATCAGAAGTAGCAAATTCTAAAATTATATCCACAAGTAAGTTTTAAGCACCTTGAATATCTCATCAGGAAATTTGAAGTGATAATAAATTCCTTTAGAGTTTTCATGTCTTACTGTTAAGAGTGACAATCTGAATTTTATTTCCTGTACCTTAAAATTTACAAAAATGAAGCTCAAAGCCCAAAAATTTTGAGACAGATCTTACAGGAATTACTCCAACCATTGTGATACGGAGTGAAGTATTAAATAATGATATGTTATATACTATGTCATGTATTTTTAAAACATAGCCACCATCTAATGGTGAGCCTAATCTGTCATGAAGTTAGGTACTACACTGTATGGATGTTACATTAAATGAATAAGATCGATCTTTTGGGGGTTTATAGTAACTTTTCAATACTACATGAGCCATATTGTAATAATAGAGATTAGGCTCATTGGTTGATGTGCGGATTTCTTTTGATCCAAACTGAAAAGTAATTCTATTTCAAAGCTTTCCTTGGGAACATCCTAAGAAACTAGTCTATCAAATTAAGGCAGGAGTGGGCTCATCTCTTAAAGCAAAATGGAGGGACCATTTACTGATAATTTGAGTGCACATGATTTGGGATAGCCATTATTTCAGTTTTGTAGATGCCTCACTACACAGTCATTTCTTCAAATTGCCACTTTTTTCCTTTGCCCCATCCTCACTTTCATGTTAATATTAATTAGGTTTAGATATAGAATTTAAATTTGAATTTAGAAGTTCGTGCCTCCATAAAACTCAGAATATTACTTACCATAGCTTTCTATTTAGGAACCTGTAGGAAGAAGAAATAGTTGCCATGTATCAGTCCTTTTTAGAAATACGGTATTAACAACGTTTGCCTAATGGGAACCATTTTTGTTTTAGATCCATTTCAAATTGCAAGCTTATTCCATACAGCAAGAGCATCCTGCACAAAAAAATTAGGTATGTACAATATTTTTAAATTTCAGTTTTTAAAAAGGGGAGAAGACAACTAAGTGATTTCTCAGTATGTATAATTTATTGCAGTTAGCACACAATTTAAAAATTCACCAACACACCAATAGTACAAAACTAAACAGCATTATAAGTTATTCCCCTCCCCCTCATGAAAATAAACATACTATGATTGTCAAGGCTAGATGTCAGTGTAATTCTTAGAACCAAAAAAAAAATGTGAAAATAAAGGGCAACCCAACCCCCCAAAACAATCACTCATGTCCACCAAAAAAAAAAAAGCAAAAGTAGTCCATTTTTTCAGACACTGATTGTCTTTTCTAAATTAATAAAAACAATGAATTTTTAAAACCTAGAGACTGTTCAAGTAACTAAAAATAATGCTCCAAGGCCATTTTCACAGCTTTTTTTGTTTGTTTTAAATGCCATTACAGCCAAATTAATATACATTTGACCAAAATATTTCCAAAACAGTCCAGTAATACACAATGGAGTTTTCCATTCAGTTTCTTAAGCACAAAAATAGGCTATGTTTACAGTAGTTAAGGCGATCAAATTCTAAACAAAAGCAGAAAAAAAAACATTTTCCATGCTACTCTCATAGACCTTATTTGTAAGTGCAAGACAGGAAAACAAACACTGTGCAAAATGCTTTTGCCCTACGTGTTGATCATTAAAACCAAACGTCAGGCTGCAGTCTTTGCTGTTTGGATACACAGTTCACAAACCCTCCCCCAACTTTTCTCCCACCATCCCCCCACCCTGTCCCATGTCAATCAAGGTTTTTAGTTCTTTTAGCCTGGGGCTTTTTCACTCCATAGAATCTTTTGAAGGGGTGAATAAAATGAACACCTATTGTTTATTTGTGCAGCAGGAATTCTAAAAATGCTCACATGGGTAAGTATATGCATCTAAGGTTGGAGCTGGTATGGGTTTGTGCAATCTTTTTTTTTATAAATGTTCACTGCACATGCAAATCTCTAAGCCTGTTTGTAAACATTACTATCTTCCTTTACATAGCTAAAATCAACATGTAGCTTTTGTTCAACTTAAAGACAATGGGCAATTAATTTAAATTATATAAAATAAAAACAGTGCATTTATGTTCTTCATAACACCAGTTTTTCCGGCGTTTTTTTCCTACTAAAAATTAAATAAGTTTTTAAAATCACTCATTAAAGTTATACAATGCAAACAAAGACAAAAATATACTGAAATGCATGCATTTCTGTAGCATTAATATTTACTTTTCAAGACTCAACTGAGAGCATTAACACAACTTGTCAATTTCTTTGACACCCCCCAACCCATTTAATCAATTACAGTATATAACAGTAATTCACATTTTAAATGCACAGTTTGCAACTGCTGAAACTGCAACATCCTTTTTCATCCCAAGCACGCCTTCAGAGTCCCCATGATTCCAGTGTATTTTCAAAAATCTTTTTTTTTAATTGGGAACTATTGTAGTTTACAAATTACAGTATAATAACAATCACTTTTGAAAAATTGAAACTCCAGTCATTTAGAAATTATATCACTTGGGTCTAAAAGCATTCAGGTTTCCCTGAGCTAGACAAGATGCATGCAGTTTAAAAAATGTAACTGAAGTGATAAAACACTGGAGATTACTGATTTAAGTGGAGATCGAAATGATGCAGTGTTGTAAATAATGTTAAATAGACTCTAACAATCACACTTGTTCAATTGCAGTTATTTTTAAAAGAAGTACTTACTTGGTGGGGAGACAGGGGAAGATTTTATGAAGTTTATTTGTCTTATTTCTATAGTTCATTATCAGAACACTAAGTAGTGAAATGTTCATGCTGCTTTAAAGTGCATAAAACAAGCTAATGGCCAAACTTTTAGTTAGTTTAAGGAAACAAGACTGCTTTTAGACTGTACCACAACTATATAGATTTATTT